AATTCAAATGCATTTGTTTAACGTAGAAGCATTACACTTACTTATTGTCAAAATGATACTACTTTTCAGAAATAGCTACTGATCTGAGAAGAACGAAAGAAGATCTGAGAAGAAGAAAAAGATAGTTTGTTTTTTACCAATTATTTGACTATAAAATATATTTATTTTAATTAGTATAGTTTACTTGAACGAGCCTGGAGCGATCAATTCATTTCCAGAGTATATTATAATTTAAATAATCACTAATATTATAATAGCCTTCACAATATTTTTTGAATTTATTAACTGAAACATTTTGACCATTTTCGAGGATTTTATTCTAAAAACGAATACATTGTCCCATAAAAGATCTACTTTGATTAAAGATAGTTGTTCTTTGCCAATTATAAGTTCATATTACGATGGTCGTTTAAAACACGAGATACATATTCGTAGTAAAGATTCGTTAAAATATTCACCTCCAAAAATGTATCATCTATTTATTTCTCTGAATAGTTAGGATCGAATTGTCTCTGAAGAGTCTCTTGAGAGGGGGAATATCAGATTTATTGAGCTTTAAGTCTAAATAGCTGTTCAATACTCCATCGGTCAAAGGGCCAGCGAAATTGGCATGTTTCTCGGCAATGGTGGATGTTTATAACGATCTGAATACAATGTATCGGTTTACAATGTACAGGTTTACATGATTGCGATTATTTACATGGTTTACAATGTATAGGTCTACAAGCCGAGGTTCGGACCTCCATCTGAGGGGCCCTTGGATCGTGTCGTGCCCCCTCCGGTTGGTCCATTATCCATCTTTCGTTAGCAGGGCGATGAGGATTGCAGCGCAGTGGACGGCGTCTTCGTGTCGTCGTCGTACACCAGCTACGACAAGTTGATACGAGTAATTCTTACAATATTTTGAAGAAATAACAACCATTGTTTTTATTTTGATCTTTTAATAAATTATTTAATATTATTTTCTACGACGCATAACTCCATTTAAATCTACGAAAAAACAACGAATGAATAAAGAAGAATATATTTCAATATTTGTTAATGTTAAGTACAGTTATATAACAATATATGACCTATACAGAATAGGTTTTTCTGTAAATAAAGTTGGTTTTATTTAAGTTTCAAAGGTAAATATGAAAACAGCTGCAGTAGCACGACAGTGCAGTTTCAACTCTACCCTTATTACATACATCGTCAATACTTTACCGTACTTTTTAGTATTTTTTGATTTTATTTCGATTAGTATTTTTTAAAACTCCCGAAGTTTCCTATACTCCATTAAAGTATAACAAAATTTTTAATTTTGTTACATTATACTCCAGTTACAATGTTATAAAACTAGATAGATGGAGGGACGTGCAAATTTGCCGAACTTTATTGCACTCCGAATATAATAGACTTCGTGGCAGCTGTGGGAGAGGCCAGTGTCCAGCTATGGACTAAAATAAGCTGAAATGTTGATGGTGTTCAAGTACTCCGTGGCGCAGTTGCCAAGGTATTGGCTTCGGCGTCGGTGGTCGTGGGTTCGATTCCCGCACGGAGCAACTGTTTGTGTCACAGATTGTTCGCATCTGGGTTGTTAGTCCTCGTGCAATTTATGTTTGTAAAACGTCCTTACAACACAGGATAATGTTATCCTAAAGTGAGAGCAATGTTTAAAAAAAAGTTAAAGCTATAAAAATGTTATACTTATATTGAACGTAAATAATTACATTATTCATGAAGCTTGCATGAATGAAGAATCATGCTGGTGTGGGTACTTTAGCAATTGTCCAGTCTCACTGCAGAAAACTCGTATCTGTGGATTGTCCAACCAATGGAAAGATATGCGTTCTTTAAGTAAAGAGGCGGCATACGTAATGATATTATTAGCATTAACCCTGTAACAGAAATAATGCTTTATGTCAGTGTGTGAATATTGGTTCCCTCAATCACGAAGTACAAATGACTTCGGTAATTATCCGTATGTATGTAAAAATGGATGTTTGTTTGTTCCACATAAATGTATAGTCCCATATAATTCTTCTATTGAAGATGGAACTGAATTGTGCTGTTGTGTCCACATATACTATGATTTTGATGTTAACAAGGAAATAACATAAAGTGTGTATAATATACTCTCAGCAACGACAGAAAAGATCTCCAATCTAAATTACGATTTATTACAAGCAATCGATTATATCTCTTATTGACTTGTCTTGCCTTAATCCCATATATGTGGAGTCGATAAAAATGTGCAGAATAGTTCAGTGTATTGGCTAGGTTTTAAATGAATGGCCACTACTTGGGAATTAACACCTAGATCTGGAACAATTATCTGAAGGTGACATAGATACTCGTCCCGTGTGGAAATCGAACCCACTTCCCCGACGTTGAAGCTTATAGCTTAGCAAGTGCGCCTCAATCGCTTGTATGTAAGTTTTTTAATTCTTATACGTTTACCAAAATTTTATCAGACTTTTTTAGACATTTCTATCAGATTTTTATTGGAGTCAACTGCTGGACGAAAAGAACCAAGCGATCAATGCCTAGAGTAACGGCTAGGTTGATACATGTATATGATTCATTTTGCGATTAATTGCCTAGCTCTACGAGGAATAATCAATCGATAAGGTACGCCCGGATCAAAAGCGATGCAACACTTAGATTATAAATAAGTAGCTGAGACACTATAATTATGCTATTGTGCACAATATCATAATTATGGTGATGGGATTTCATTTAATGCTTTCCGGAATTAATTTTTTTTCACCTCCTATAAAGACTTAATTCGTAAGAACTACGGAGATAGGCTATTTTACTTGCGCTTTTGAATGAAATCTGTAGTACTTATATACATATATCAAGAAAATTTTGCATTTTATATGTTTTATGTGAATATATGTTTTTATTTGTGGAGAGAAAATAAATAAAAACTATTTACAAATTGTGTAATTATGTGTACTGGAAATAGTACACTACGCAACACCATCGCGGATTGGCGGACTTCACATATTTGCAAAACATTTTTTTACTGGTTTCGTCACGATGTTTTCCTTCACCGTTCAGCACGAGATAATTTATTGAAGAACCCGGGATACTTTCTGGGGATCTTCCGGGATCTTCCAGGGATACTTTCTTATTTAGAGGGCCACTGATTGCAATGATTAGATCGTTTTTATATGGCAGTCGTATTTTCTATTGCTTTCTTTATTTGTAGCCTCGGCTGTTGCACGAATGGGCAGGCCTGTCCGGGTAAGTACCACGACATCACAGAAGACCGGCGTAAAGTGGAAGTATGGCAAATACTTTCGCGTTTCGTCTGATGAGTTACGTAGCCGGAGCCCAATTTTCAAAAGGTTGTCAACGCATCTGTCTTCGTCTGTTTGTTTGACAACTTTTCGCATAAAAAAAAATCTTACCTATATTACTCGAAAATTATGAAAATATTCGTTTCGTCGAACGATATTTCATAAATGAAGACACTCACATATAAACATATTTATATGAATTTGGAAAACATAAAACTGCTCTCTATGCGCAAACTTATTAATAAAACTGGGACCAAAACAAAACATGGGATCGGATCGATCCATCGTAATGTAAACATCGAGTGAATTCGGTGCATCGATGTATATCGGATCGAATCGAGGAAGTAAGCGGTTCACATGATTCGTAATGATTACTGCCAATGATTATCAACAAACCCGTAGTTGACGTTTTCCTTAAGGCTGTATGCGTCGGGTAAGTATTGTATTTTGTATGGTAGGGCTTGGGTAGTAAGTTCCAACGAATTCTGAGACCGGGAAAGATCTACTGTAGTCTTCTTTTCGAAAACATTGCCCTCTTAATTTTTTTTTCTTTCGTTTTTTTAGACGTTGCCCTTTAGGATAACATTATCTTGTGTTGTAAGGACGTTTTACAAACATAAATTTCACGCGGTCAAACACTCAAATGCGAAACAACTATCTGTGGATCCACCCCAGGATAACACAGGATAAGTGTAAGGACGTTTTACATACGAAATAATTGTAGGTTCTGTTGCGTTTATTTTGATGTAACATTGTGGTGGCCTTTAAAGAAATGTTTTTTTAGAAATGAAACGATTAAAATCGAGTGCATAATTATTTTATTTTGTACGTCTCCGTGGAATGCGATTCTTTACAAACATTTTGCGTATACAATTAAAAAAAACACGCTACTTATATAATATTATATACAAATATACGCCTGGTAAAGTATTATAGTTGAGTATGTGTGGACGAGACTAATGTCACTACATTGAGTACATAGTATAGAGAAATTAATGTTTTTATCATTGAGCAAATTCGTAGGAATGTAAAATTACACAGAGTATATTCTTCATATAGGTTAAGAGGAATGTTAGAGATTTCGTTGGAACAATATTAATAATAATCAAATTGCTTCAAATGGTAAAAAACAATGTAGATAAAAGACATAAAATTTTCGTATTTTTTAAAAAATAATCAGGTGCGTGATTAGCGTTAACTTACGAAGACTAACAAGCGACAGTTTGACAATGCACCCGAAGTTATAAGAGCCATTTCTCAATCCGTAAACGACACGTCAAACGAAAATTCCACTAAAATCAAATAAATTATATTCGATACTATACAAAAAAAAAAAGGAAAGAAACATACACATAATATATTTATCCATTTCTGCTACAACTGCTTGTCACAGCACCGGCTGCATCCTTTATAAACCAACTATTAACCTATTGCTTACGCGTACGGAATAATTTAATATTTACAAACTTTTTGTACATAACCATCAACCGGGTCTCTTAGTACCGATAACATTTTATAACTACACACTACTTAGCTTACGTATTTGGGATAGACTCTTTAATCAATCGATAACAAACAAAACTCCGCCCAATTGTCACTTTTGTTTCACTTATCTTTAAAATCACAATTCGATTTACTGGCCTTTTAATAACAGTACAATGTGAGGTTCCGAGCGACGTCACCGGGTTGATGCCCGCCGCCGTGACGTCACACTTTGGTCGTCAAGTCCAGGGGGTGAAGTTTGATCCGTTTGATTTGCGTGTAGGCCATGTCCTCCTCTTCGCTTACCGAACCACCACCGCTGGCCGAGTCGACGTCATCGTTGTCCGGTGTGATGATCTCACTGTCGTCGGACCTCCGTCGCGCAGAGCTCGACCTGCCATCAGACTTGACCGACAAGTCCATCGGGTTCTCTTGCAGCGGCGACTCCGATCTCCTCCTCTCTGCCGGCGGAGTAGGCACGAATTCCGCCTCAGATATGACGTCATCCTGAGGCGTGGGTTGGGCGGAGCGCTGCTGCTTCAGGATCTCGTCGAGGAAGAACCGTTTCGACGAGTCCGCGTTGTGGTCGTCGATCCTCACGTCGTTGTTGTTTTCGGCCGCCTGCCTAAGGGCCGCGTGGTCGAGGAGGTGCCTGGAGTATATCGGATGGAACCCCGGCGGGAAGATCAGCGGGTGGTTGGCGGCGAACGGGCTGAAGGGGGGCGGGGGTAAGAACGGCGAGTGGGGGAAGTGGGGCAAGGAGATGTTGGCTAATGGCAGCGGGACGTAGGCGTCCCTGGGTGGCGTTAGCGGTCTATCGGGCGGCCGCGACTGCGTGATGCGGGTCTTCTCGTCCAGCTTGGGGGATGAGCCGCTGCGATGGGAGTCCGGGGAGCCGGAGCAGGGCGCTTTGTACTCGTCGAGGCCCAGCAACGCGAGCTCCTCTTTCGTCCGCGGCCGCGCTAATCCGGGGAAGAGATGCGGGGGGAAGGGCGGCGCCAGATGGTGCGGCGACGGGGGGACCCTCGGCGGCGACCTGGACTGCGCGGCCTGCTGCTGCTCCTGCAGCAGGCAGTGGATCTTGAACCAGTTCGAGCGGCGGCCGTATCGGGAGCCGGACTTCGACATGCCGACCATGAGGCACTTGCGCAGGCGGCACGCTTTGCACGCGGTGCGGTTCTTCTTGTTGATGACGCATTCGCCGTTGTTCTTGCACTCGGTGATTGAGTTCAGGTTGTTGTAGGACCGGCCGAAGAATGACTGGAAAGAAAGAGGGGACGAATGTAATAGGCTGTTGATTAATTACTAACGTATGATAAAAATGCGTAAGTGTTTTTTTTTATTAATTATTATACTAACATAAATCTAAGAGCATAAAATGTAAGAAATAAAATTTTTGCAACGGAAACTCCGAAGATTTCATGATTCAAGTTTTATTTACGGTTATAACATATTAACAACTTCAGTCAGGTTTCAATGGCCATATCTTTGCACCTTTATATTATCGCCCTTGATATTGCAGTGGTAGTGCTACGCGGCAATTCTACGCCCGAATGGGGAGGAACCACATCCTGTTAGAAGACCGGAGTGGAGTGGAAGTATTATACTTTCCGTTTCGATTGGGGAGTGACCTCACCCGGTTTACCGGTATCAACTTTTCTAAAGGTTGCCAACGTATCTGTAACCCCTTAGATGTTAAGACGTCCATGTGCGGAGGTAATCATTTAACATGTGGTGCACCACCTGCTCACTTACCAATTTTTAATAGTACAAATTCAACATACAAATTTTCGCATTAAAAGAATCTGAACAACGTCAAATACAATTAGAGGTTAATTGACCGTTCAAAGCTGTTCAGAATTTAAAGGTTTCGATTTGCGGAACTAGTTATTTAAGCTCGCTTTGCAAAGTGACCGGCGCGCTGGAGTGTTGCGTAGAAAGTGAAAACGGCGGCTCAAAACCGTCGCGTTCACGGCTTGGCGACGTCATTTCCGTTGGATATAGGCCGCAGGCTCGGTTCCGGTCTGCTACCCACCTTTATGTACGGTTTCGATTCGTCTCGACCTTGGGATTTCGCCGCGTTATGTAACGCCATTGTTTTCTTAGAGGAAGTTTACGGCGAAGCCCGCAGCGTAGCGGCCGAAGCCGACGCTGATGGACGAATAGTATTTTTGCGTATGCCAGGTTTGTAGCAGACGTTCGATATATCTTGGGTGATGGTCTGCCTGAAATTTACGTCGATTCTGTTTTTTCTGATAATGATTGTAATTTATGAATTCATACGCATTTTAAATCTTCACAGGAATTCTATTGAAACAAAATTGAAATTTAAAAATATCTTTTATGAGTCGATTTAGTGCCTGTATCGGGTGTACTTATATACTCGTAGGCGTATAGGGACCGTCTAGAAGGCTTTAAAGTAACATTTAAAAAGCTGTTCACGTAAACTAGAATGAGCCTTAAGCTAATCTGACTTAAGCCTGACCGAAAACAGAAAATCGCAACTCTGATTTAAAAATGAATGCAATTTCAAGTTTTGCACCCTTTTTTATTCAAAACTGGCCAGCACTTGACCGCCATCCCACCTGATTGTAAGTGGCGATGCGGCCGTTGATGATAAGCGCGCTAGCTAGTAAAAACCTATTCGCCGAAGCAATCTAGGGCGCTGGACTCCCATAGAGCGACGGCGCCTTAGCCGCGTCGGAATAAACGCGGGCGCATTACGGCGTATTAGCCAATGTGGCGGGCGCGCGCGCGGATTGCCAAAACGGCGAGCGGCTCGCGGGGCGAATGACAAATCGGCCCGCGATTGAAACGATCGCGTCATAGATCAGGAATTCGGACTGAAACAATGCCATCTTCGACCGGCGCGCGGGCGTGACGTGAATCCTGTCGCGGTGTCCATAGAGATCGGATCGCGCGGCCGCTAATGCTACGCGGGCCGTGCGCGTGCCCGTTGCGTCGCGCGGTGACGGCTGCGCGGAAACAGATGAGATTCGCAATGGAGATATGCTTCGAAAAGTACCGCGGATAGGGCGTTATTCAAGCACACGTTGCAGTGACGTGATTTTATTTTCGAATTTGTAGTATATAGATATTTTTTTTGGTATATTTATTTCGTACTCGGTGGCGCAGTTGCCAAGCTATAGGGGTCGTGCGTTCGATTCCCAAACGGGAAAACAATTTGTGTGTGACAAACATGATCAATAAGTATGTGTGATAATTAAATTTCAAAAGTTCATGATCCTGTCATAAATTGTCTTGCACTTGCGAACTAATTGGGACTTTACTATAAAAATCTTAGAGTGCAATTCGCGTAGCGCCGTGAGACTTCTGCATTACTAAGCTCTCGCATTATTAGGATTTCCTAGTAAAATATAAGGTTATACAAGAGAAGTGAGACCAATATGCGTTAAATGCTTATGTAAAATCGTATAATACTCGTTTAAGAAGACTTTATAACGATTTCAGTTGGTAGTATTTCAGTGTTAAAACTAATACTAAGTTAGTACTAATCCCTTTACTGTTATTGCATAGTCGACAGCTTTTTACGGGGGCTTGTTAGTTTGTGCAATTTTTGTGATTTTTGTTAATGTGACTTAGGACTTCATGGTAAGCGGAACAGCCCATAAAAATCTGACGGTGCATGAAACATTATCGGTTATTTTTAAGGGTTTCATCTAGTTTTAAAAATTTAAATCAATTCATAACTTATCGACGCTTAGATTATCTTGTAGTCTTTATGGTCAGACGACGGACTTAGGTCCTATATGTCACTGACGCAGTAAGCAGTTTTTTTTTAATAATATAAAACATTCACGCGTATACCAATATCCAGAACTGATAAAGTAAGTTTAGATTTCAGTATACATTTAAAATGGCTACGATGCTAACAACACTGTTTCTAAAGTGAGAAAGTGGCAATTATTAGCTGATATTAAGTGATAACCGCCGCCCATGGACATTTGGAACACCTTCAAATGCATTGCCACCTATAAATAAAGTGGGCCAAGGCTACCTCACTCACCAGACGAAACGCAGGAGTGTAACAATTCCACTTTACGCCGGTCTTCTGTGAGGTCGTGGCACTTAACAGGACGGACCTGCCCATTCGTGCAACAATAAATACTGTTGCATATTCGTACCATACAACGTCTTCATCGATCTCGAATTTTACCAGTGAAAATGAATCGTCCTGTATACGAGATGATTGTCACTAAATATAACTCGCCGTTTAAACCAGACGTGAGTTAATAGATGCACCTTCATCGGCAGCGGCAGCCGACTGCGCGAGTCCGTTGTAATGAGAATGTGCATAAATTTTGCGGGCAGGGCGCGCCGGGCGACAGCGCTAGAGTTACGGGCGACCCTAACGCCACCTGTGACCCGCCGCCCGAACTGTATGTCTACGACGACGATGGCACACACGTAGCCAGTTACCGCGCGGCATTTGGATGGCCTGTGTATGGCAACTCCGTGTTCGATAAGCCTAAGTTAGGTCGAATTAGGGACTTTTGTTTCGTTCTTTTTAGTAAATGAATCTTCGATATGCCTACGTTAGGTAGGACCGAATTTAGGGACTTTTTGTTTCGTGCTGAATGCATGAATCTTGAGATCTCATTATTAGATCTGAAGTTAGAATTAAGGCCAGGAATGCTAATTTTATGTGTATTGTCCCAAAAATTTAATATAACACCATTGTGAGTAATTGAATATTTTGTTTGTATGTTTCTCTGGTGCAAATAATAATTTAATCTGATACACAGTGGAAGGTGACGCACTGTGTTCAAATAATATCACATATTAAAAGGGGCTTTTAATGAGACCAAGCTGGCTTCCACTTTAATGACCGCACTAAAGCAAGGCTACAAACAAGTTAGAGACCTACAGAATAGGAAGATCACAAAATTGAGAGACCACAGAAAGAAAGACCGCCGAATCGTGAACAGATCCAAATTAAAAAGATAGCTAAAACGAAGGAACAGATTAGAAAGCAAATTAAACAAATTGAAGAGGCCATAGATTAGAGAATGAGAGATTGGAAATACCACAGATAAGGTATTCAAAGATCGGAGGGGTTACAGATTATAGACGACGCGCGGCCGGCGGGTCAGCGAGGATTCTAATAAGCGCGCATCCACCGGCCGACGACATCGAACCAGCTGATTGCGAACGCAAGATAGTTTGGTGCGCGTCTCGGCTTTCTCCGTTCAAATGATTTACACGCCGATACGTACGCCACCTTGAGCTTTTAAGCACTGCTGGATTGCAACACGATGGCAAGACACTTATCTCGTCGTATTTCGTTTGAAGGTTTGCGTAAACACGGACTAGTATTTTCTCGAAGCGAAGAGATATTTGACAATGTGTTTGCGGAACTTTTACTATCAGTTTGGCTAATACTGAAACTATAAAAATTCTCGTCCCATGAGTTTGGATGGCGGCATGAACTGGCGGAGTTGGATGCAGCATTCAAAATGTAGAATTTAAGCTTCGTATAATTTCGTCGTGGTATGACCTACATATAAACGTATAAAATATATTTATTCATGTTTGGTTCTATGGATAGAAATTTCTAGCGATTTTAGTATTAATCTTATCCTTCAAACGAGCAATTCTTGTATATATATATATATAATCGGAATCTCGGAAACGGCTCTAGCGATTTTCATGAAATTTAGTATGTGCGTAGATTTGGGGGCGAAAAATCGATCTAGCTAGGTTTCATTTTTAGAAAATGTCCTTTTATCCCTGTTTTCAGGGAATGAAAAATATAATTCGAATATGACGGTAAATTTCGCCGCAAGCGAAAATGTCATAATAGCTCGGTCGGTAATCGGGCGGCCCCAAAACAGATGGCCGTGGATCGCGTCACGATCATTTACACATTTATTTTTTAACTTTTTTTTCGATTCCATATCATTGCTTTCTTTATTTTTAATTTTTTGTCGATTTGTTATTTCGTTATTTTTTTCCCTTTTTTTTTAGTTCTTTCTTTTGTGAAAAACATCAGTTCATATTTTCTTATTATTACGTCGATAAGATCGAAAGATATTATGCATATTTCATTACTCAGTAATATGTATCTAAATGTAATTTCCAAAATACACGATTTACCAAAAAAAAAAAAAAACAAACCGAGCAAAGCTCGGTCCTCCGGGTACTAATGATTAATTATGGTGAGTAATAAAACAGATTGACGTTTTCAACCACCTCCCATGCATTCTGCCTTGTTTATATATAATAACATTTTTACAACAAACGAGATAGCAGGTAGATTTATTGTTGAACGCTAAGTGCTAGGATGCTATTATGAGTCTATGAAGTCAAGGTTTTCGAACGCAGCATTGTATTTAATGGCAGAATGAAGCTTCACTTTTATTACGCGAACGCATAAGCAGTTTTACGGACAGGGCCTCACGATTAACTTTATAAAATACGAGATTGGCATTCAGAGAGCGTATCAAGAGCAAAACGAAACAGTTTTATTGAAATGAGATACAGTAAATAGCAGACAGGATTTCAAAAAATCGGATCAGTGCCTAACCATGAAACAAAGGCATCTTTCTATTATCATATAGTCTCTTTTATACTGTGACAATAAAGCCGTGATAGCTCAGTATCCGGGCGCTCGGAAACGAAAACATAGTCATATTGTCTAAATAATGATAAATTAAATATTCCGAAGACATGCGAAGTCTGCCAATCCGCATATGTAGGACTATGCCCAAATAACCTCTTTACAGAGAAGGCCTTTGCCCAGCAGTGGGACATTTATAGGCTGATACTGTGCTTTTTACTTTACTTATTACACTGTTTGCTTATTATGTTCATGAACATGACTGTCAATATTTATGTCGGGGGCCCCTCTTACTTAATATTTACTACCACTTTTATGTGCACCATAGGCGTAGGTGGGAAGTCCACCCATCTACTATCATCATAGACACCTATAATAGGAAAATTTGAATCGCTACCAGTATATTAATACCGAAAGGAACACGCGAGGTCGGATTTTATCGCAAGACACAACCTAACGTCCCAACAATGTATGGTCTATAAACAGAAGAACGGGGCGAATTCGCTGGCACCATTAATAGCTCGTAAAGTGAGGCATAAAAACTGATGGCACGCATTTTATAGTGTTTTCTTTAGCTCACCTACCGCAGTGCTCTCTTAAGAGCGTCCTAATAGCTTAGAACTCGTTTACTAAGCAACTGCGTTGTATTTTACTAGCGCGCTATAAATATTTTGTATCGCAGAGATGATCGAAAATGTGCCGTTCTAAAATAAAGCTCCCTTTATTAATTACGTGATGGGGTAAAATTAATTCTGGTACCTCAGAATTCCCCAGGATAATTTAAAACTATTAAAATGATTTTAAATATACTTTCAATATTGTGAAAATATATTTTTAAGTTATCTTATTTTATTCAAGTCACGCGTCAAGATTAACTGTTTCTGATTCACAAATACTAAATCACGAAGATAATACTTCTGTTTTTTTTTTATTTCGTGTCATTTGGAATACGGTTTTGTGACAAATTGAATTTTAGAATGAATTGTTTTCGAAGTATCCCAAAAGTTATGGTACTTAACTCTACTGGCATTTATAAAATGGTAGTAGTGTTTCGCGGTAAAACTTTGCGTAACGTACATCCAAAGACAGTGTAGTTTCTCTCTTCCTTTAAAAATGTGATCGGTGTACATAACAAGTTCGAATTGATTCGAAGAAATAATTGCACGTTCCTCTTAAAGACTAGTTTTAGCATGACCTATTAAATTTTATGACCTAAAAAATTAATTTACATCATGCTTCCGCGCCTCTAATAATTATGTTAACTTTAATTATATGTGTGTATTAACGTTTCTTTATATGTATGGGATAATCAATTTAAACGTGACTAGACAAAAATTGGCCCGATTTTCAGTTTGACAAATCACCAGTGTTCCGCGTGCAGACGGACTGCCTCATCGCGCGGTAATCGCGTCCTAACACGAAACAAGCGTGAGAACATTCTAGACAGCATTGCCGTCGACCCCTCTGCTGACTTGGACAATCTTGTTCGCATCCAACGAAAGCGAACAGTCGCAGCTATAGACGCTATTCAACGTTTGGGAACGGCTATCGCGCGCTTTTTCGACTGTCTGTTCATTTTGGCGGGAGCGCGGTTGTCATCCCGCATTTGCGTGCGAAAGCATTGACCCGTGCTCCCGGGTCGTTGTTTTGATTGCGCCTGACATTCGGCCAGAACCGATTGTTTGTGTAAGCTGGTCTGATGCCGCAGATCGCTTTGGATCTGTTATCGACTAGCTTTCGCACGCGGCCTCGCCTGCATGATTTGTGTTTGGAAAAAGCTAGTGAAATTAATTTCGTTGTTTTTTGTATACCCGCACTAGGTAATTATTGGCGCGTCTCTTTGTTTCACAGACATGATATCAAGTAGAGTCAGAACAACAATATGTGGGTCATAACAGTATTGTTCCCGTGTTGGTAACCTAATATACATGCAATGAAAATTGAAAATTTCTACAAAATGTGTATCAACTTATGGAATAATAACGATCCTGCGCATGAATCGAGCGTCAAATCTCAGAATAGATGGAACATACAAACACACACATGTTATTATGTTTATGATGTTAGTTTCATATGAAATATCAATTTCGCATTGCGTATCTAATCGGCGCGAAAGTTTATATGCTTGATGTAGTGTGTGATCAGAGAAGAGAGATGATAATTATAATGAGAGAGGCTTTCGAATCGACTCAAATCCGGTAGCAATAAAATCTCTTTCTTTTGTACGTTTTTTTATGTTACTATTGTTAATTTATTAAGTAAGGTGCTGGCCTATAGGTTGAGTTGTCAGACACATGATCCGTAGATTTATTTACTGATTTCTCACTTTTTTTTTGTATAAAAACAATGCATTTTTTTAACCTACCCTAATATAACACACAATATATAATTAACCCAAGATTTGTGTATGATTAACGTTTGTGAAAGATTTTTTTTAATTTATGTACGTCACAAGATTTGGAGCAAGTGAAAGTTTATGTTTATTTACTTGTTGTTCAATCAATTGAAATGATCGTATTGCGTGATCGCATTCATCTTAATTTAACAGCCACGCCATTGTAAATTCTCGATATAATTGAGACACAATAGTTACTTTTTTATTTAACATTAAAAGCTACACAGATCAATGAAATATTCGTCAAAGGTGGCGATTAAATTAACGATAAGTTAAATATTACGCGCCATTGGTCATTTAACGAAGCAAATGGTGTTTTTAAAAACTTCGGACTACGAAAGTATTAAAAAAAATTTTAAAAATGTGTTTTAACGTTTTATGAACTGTAGGACTTATTTTTTTTTGGTCGTTATGTCTTACATATAATATATTGTATATGTATTTTTATGATGAAATATTATGCTAAGTGAGTAACTCTCTAATATAATAAAAATTAGGTTGCATATATTTTATATCATGACAAACAACAATAGGTTGACATTGACATGACTAATAAATTTTGAAAAATTACATCAAATACAAAATTTGGGTTCTCGTCTTGTTTCAAAATTGAATATGCAAGGACGTAGATGAGAAACAAGTTGGAAGTCACCATTATATATTATATGTATACATTAAATACCGATGAAGCCAAAAAAAGCTTGTTAAAAATCAGTTCGAAAGTCAACACCGCCCATATCATATAACATAAGGGCGTCACTAAGGTGTCGAAGCGCGAATCGTGGCGTGAATTAAAATCATTTTCGCGCTCCAATAAATCAGTAGATGTGCTAATAGCCGCTTGACAGTTTCAAAACCGCCGTAAAACAAAGACCATCATCAAGACTCAAAACTCGCGACCGGTCTAAGCGAAATTGGTCACTACGGCCTAAAAATAAAACGATCTTTTTGCGAAATTCGCGCGGCATAGATCATGGCGGGAAAACAAAAATGGCGCACGAAATGTGAACAGCTGACTCGGCCGCGCGTCACAGTCGCGACGAATCGATTCAACCCGCGAATGATATTGCAAACGAGAGTTTATTGTTTCAATACGGCGGCCGTGGCGGCAAATGAACCGAACGATTCCGATCTGGTTTTGTTTTTGCTTTTTTTTTCTAAAAAAATGCTACGAACATTTACCTGCCAGACTACGAAGGCCACACACTTTTCTTAAGACAGAAATGATTAGCAAAAATGACGAAAACCGTTTTATTGTACACTTCAAAACAACATGTCACTTTTTTTTTAATTCTCATACACACAATATTTTTATACGCTGTATCAAGTGCATCAATAATAGATGTCAAATTGAAATTGAAATTTCTGACGTCAATAGGTAAGTGTTAAGATGTAGCTTTCATGTTCTAAGTAACGCACATAATTACGGTGATTTTTACTCAAACTTCATAAGATTTGTTACCAGGATATTCTATAATCACAAAAAACTTTAAAAGAAAAATTACAAAATGGAAGATGTAAAACGACGCTCGATACTGCGCTTAACAAAGAAAAATGAAGACAGGCAATTGTAAGGCAAAGAGCTAATTGGATTTAATTAATTTCGTTTATCTAAAAAAATCGCATGCCAAGGGCCTATATCTACCACCTTAATAGCGCTTGTGTCGTTAAAATTAATCCAATCTGCCCTATAAAACCGAATGCAATATCTAATTACGCCGTTTTAACGTTCCTAAGGGTCCGTACGGGCAGGGATCCAATTAAAGTTAAAATAAAAATCGAATTAATTTGCTCGGTGCTACTTCATTAATGTCGGGGCTTTTGTCTTCGTCGAGCTACCGCGTTTGACAAATTATAGAGTGCACCGGTGAGCCTTTGGAGGCCCGCACAATGGGGCGGCGCCACTGTCTTTGTGGTCGTACAATACGGTCACTGGCAGTTGGGGAATCGGCTTGGACTTTTAAAAACAAATTAGCGGCGATGATTTATCGCTCGCCCGCGTTACGAAAGACTCGCGTTAGTGACGCGAACGTCGAGTGCTTTCGCGCACATTTTTAAATTAGGAATATTTATGATCTGTTGTCGATGGTTCAATTGAATATGTTTCATTCATTCTCATTCACTTACCGACTGTGGCGACATCGTGAGCGGGTATTTGGTTGATTTTTTTTTTTAGTAAAAAACTATTTTTGCTGGCGATTCATTCTGAACTCGTTTAGATTTGCTTAACTATGGTCGATTAAAGAGGTTAAAACGCGTCTAATTTAAAGAGAGGAATGTTTAGAGAACTTTTGCTTTAGATATGTCTTCGATTTTACATTTGAACCTGCGTAGTCATCCCATCCCTAGCCCGGTTTCGCCACAGATAATTTAGCGTGAATGGTTTTCCGTTCGCGTGCTATATCACAATTTAACTTTGCTCCCAATACGAATATAATTCTTGTCGGGCAGCCGTGCGACCGCGATGGTGACCGTTGATAGCCCAACGGCGACTGTAAAACGTCCCGTAACCAAACATCGAGAATAATCAAAAGGAAAGCTCGAGTCGTCTGTCATGTGCGGAAGATTGGAAAAGTGTTCCAATGAACACAAAAATAGTACGTAAAATATTCTTTGTTACTTGTTAAATTTTCTAATAGGATTATTGTTTTGGATTACAGTCTGTAGATTATGAAATGTTCATCGGAAGCACAGTTCGTCAGAATCCAAGAACTTGACATGGGTTTACATAATGGGATTATCCTGGGCTTGTATGTATGTTTGGTACCACCTACGGATTGACAAACGTCAAGTACCGGCCAGTTATATGTAAGTGAGTGTTAAAACATTCATTTTCCTTTGTAGCTTTGTATTAACAAATTTGTATCTATTATGAGTTCTATTAATAATTTGTTGAGCCTGAACTTGGCAACTGAATAAACTTAAAGCTCGCGACGTTCTAATTGTAATCTCTGAGTGCGGTATTAAGTTTAATGCCAAATGGAACGAGTTCTAGTAACACGGAGGTTAAAGGGAATAAACTTAGAGCTCGCGACGCTCTAATTGTAATGTCTGCGAGCGATATTAAGTTCAATGTAAAATGGAACAATAGTAACACGGAAGGGAAAAGGGCCGATTTCAAGTCGACCCGGGCTAAAGACACGGGGCCGATGCGTGAACAAAAACGCCACGAGCACGGTACCGTCCGTGGTGGTAATGAACGTCTGCTGAACCGTAATTGGAGCACGCCGGCCGCGACTCCTTCACACGTTTTTGCCGCCGCATCAATCACTGGCGACCATTACTGCCGCGCTACTAACCGATCCACAAGACCGCCGAGTAGAGTGACCAGGTCCGGCATTTACTCGGACAGTCCGAACAGCAATTTGACCGCTGAATAGAGTGGCCAGTTTCGGTATTTGTTTCCCGGACAGTCCGTACAGCAATTTGTCAAACTTGTGAATTCAACTGATCCGAACGTGAGCCGTGTAGTGTGTAGATTGCCTTAGTATAGTCGCACCGAACAGAGTGGCCAGGTCAGGCATTTGTCTCCCGGACAGTCCGAACAGCCATTTGTCAAAATTGTCAATTTAACTGATCCGAACGTGAGCCGTAGTGTATAGATTGCCTAAGAATAGTCGAAGCAGTGACGGAAACGTCACATATTTTATAAGTCTAACCATTATATAAGACCAGTGGATACACTGGACGGACGGTGAAGTAAAGTAAAAGGAGCTACGTTGCACTTCGGACGGTCTCTACTTTGATTTACGAGTTATAAATATAGCTGCTATCTATCTTATATATATAAAAATGGATTGCTGTTCGGTAGTCACGCTAAAACTCCAGAACGGCTGGACCGATTTGGCTAATTTTGGTTTTGAAATATTTGTGGCAATCCAGGGAAGGTTTAAACGATGAGAAATTATGGAAAAATTTCATGGAAAATCGAAATAGCTATAATTTTATTTTACCATACAAACTGTACCTGTCAACCTGTCAACTATGTCTGTGTAGCCTGTCAAACACTTTATGCGTGCGTTCCGATTCCTCTAGAAATAATTTATATGGCAAAACAACGTCTGCCGAGTCAGCTAGTCCACTATAAAATTAGGGTGACTCTACTTCAGACACGGATTTCATACGGTAGTTCCCTGGATAGTTCCTGACGTGATATAAATCATCCGCATTTGAATTGAGATCCATAAGGACGCGTGTATTGAATTTACTAAAGTATAACGACTGCGGTTTTCTTAAGAGCAAAAATTATTGTGTTCTTCATGTGCCCAGATCACAGATGACAAGAGCTGAATAAGCTTCATGTAGCGTGGTTATACAGCTTACAAACGTGGCAGGGCCGCGCACAGAGCTTCTGCTCTTGCAGAAATGGGCAGGCTCGTCCGGGCAAGTGGCGGCCTTACAGAAGATCGACGCGAAGTGGAAGTATTAAGCTTTCACGTTTCAACTAGTGAGTGAGGTAACCACGGCCCACTTTTAAAGGTCGTCAGCTCATCTGAAAGCCATTGGGTTTTGTAGTCATTTAGAACTTAATCAGGTTAATCTCCTGCTTGCTTGACAACTTTTCACATAAAAAAAAATTAAATAAACTAAGTACTTATGTTTTGTTTTATTAAAACAAAACTATGTCACCTTTAATGATAATCTATTTAAATTACTAAATAATTAATTACATGACAATTGTTTGGTAATCTTTGATTCGGCTGGTTATATTCAGACCATTTGTTTTTAAATCGTTCGTCGATATTTCATCGGCAGTGATTTAACGGGGTCTGGCTTTGCTCGCAATGCTAACGTTTCCCAACGTCTTGTTGAGATTCGAACACCATGACCGACCTTGCGTATTCCACGATTGCATTTAATGCACTGTTGCTCTTATGATCGTCTCGATAGCTCATCGGCGTTGTTATCTTGCAATGTTGATGCTTTCGTCACTTTCTACAGTACCGTCGGAAAAAATTAACTGTTCAACCTCTGTATACGTTATTTATCATGCTGATATAAGTTCCTCTCCATAATATTCTTGAATGTTAAAGCCACTACGATATTTACAGCAGTTTAATACGATTTGACCAGTCATATTCATTGTTATAGTTCGCTTATCCATAAAAAAGGGAGTACTTGGCTCCGTATGATAGTAGGTCAATATTACACGTTAACCATTGTCCACGCCGTACGTTAGCCCAGAAGCAATCAGGCATTGTTACAACCCACGTAGTTGTAATACTAAAATAGACCGGAGTGCGCCAAGCGATGACTAATGTCATCATTTAAAAGGGCCACCACACACTGATAAGATCGCGATTGGCACAAAGTCAAGGATACGAAAGGACAGACACGCACCGAATAGACAATGATATCTAAGTTTTTTTTTTAACTGATGCTTATAATTTTTGGCACAGCCCTAAAACATAGGCTGCTTTGTACCGATGTTTTTATCACTTATCGATTATTGACCATAGAACAATACAATTTATTGTAAAATCAAATTTGAATAAATTAATTCGCCACTACTACTAAGAATTATCAACATTACACGTTTCATCCATCGTATTGTGTTAGTATTAAAAAAAATGAACATTAAGTAACCAAAGTAAACGCTTTCAGTATTTGTTGAATTTAAAATAGCTTATTCATTGAATGTAATATCTTAAATATGAATGTAACGTGCTATCATAAAGTTGCCAAAAATCAAGTAAAGGAGCAGCCAATGGAAGAGATTATTTCGACCAAGATAATTGTTTCTACGACAATTGATTTCGGATATTACGCGAACTCGGTACATAGCACTGACCGGTTCCTTACATCCTGCGACATTTTCCCTCCCTCTTACACAACCCATTGTCTGGCGGTTCTGTTCCACTTGATGCAAATTGCTTTGGCGAAATCCGAGGCAAATCTAAAACAATACGATCCATTCGAGTCGACCTTATTCGGCATTTGTATGGTAATCGAGATAATCAATTGCGAACTACAAATCTTGATAGACGCAGTTTTTTGGATCTGATTGGATGATTGATGTTTAATTGAAAAAGAAATAGAATCGAGTGGAACAAGTCTTTCTCAATGTGACATGAACATGGTGTTATTGTATCTATGCCATCAAAAACAATCTTAGTTATGGGTTGGTGTTATGTGATTGTATTTTTATGTGTTATTTACCCTAGGCCACCGATGTAATGAAGTATTTAGATTGGAATCACTTGTATCAGCGACGATGTGAGTGATTTGTTATCAGTTATTAAACAAACTACTAAAGTCATGATCATAATAACAGTAATGCTCTCTATTAATAACTAGTTTATACAGTGGACTATGATGCTAAAACTAACTTGATTAACGTATAATTACCAATTTTGATCGGATTTAAATAAATGAAATCATCAAAGCAATTAACGACTAAGTAAACATACGGCGAATTATCGAGAAATCTATAATTTATAGCACCGAAACGATAACAGCGTAGAAAAAAAATTGTACCGGAACACCGATGCGTGCCGATCGAGTTATTGACGTGAATCTCCCGGACATTCAGCGTTTGGAAGCGGGCTCTCCTTTCAAGGTAAATGCGCACTTACTGCTTTGAAAATAAAGTCTTTCTGCTAACAGATTAACCGCTCAAACCGATGGAACTGAGGATGGACTGGTTCCGAATCGGAATTAAAAGCAATTATCGCCATTAAAATCGCTCGCGGATAAGAAGGATACGCCAGCTCTAGTTTCACACTGGCGTTGTTTATTTATCTTCCTTATTTCATCCTATTAAAGTAGTTTGCTCCGTTCTATTCTCAACTTTTCTCTTCTTTTCTTTGAAAGGGAAAATTCAGATTTTTCCAAATGTTAAATGAAGAACAGTTCTAGAACTGTTCTCGGTTTAATAATGATTGTCATTGTAATTGAAATGTAGAAAACCCTTCCGAATTCGGGTCAATCGTCCATTAAATCCCCACGATAGCGTATTTTACGATGAGCCTGTTTTTAAATGAGTTTTAAAAGCTTCAGATTCAATTGACCGTCACGAAAACGCAAAGAAATTGCATTGGGCACATCGATTTTTGTGTCAAGTGTTAAGATTGCATTTATTGAAATTCTGATGAACTTTATTTGGTATTATTTAAAAAGATCCGTGTATTCTATTAGCATAAAATCTGCACGCAAACCCGGGTACTCAAATCGTATATATTCATGACTCCTTGCTAATAATTTCCAAGTAATGTTTTATGTCACGATAGCCGCATAGTATGAAACCAGAGGACTTGTCCGAATAGGAATATCTATTACTGCTATATTGCCAAATCTGTATTTGAAATAAATTTGTTTGTATTAGCTAAAAGGGGAATTATTTTCTACTTTTTAATTTGAACATATCGATTTAAAAGTCAATCATAATTCGATACTATGAATTTTCTGCCTTGCTTATAAATGGGGCTTATACGAACCATACTTTAATTTTGAGTGTTATGCTAATTTATACTCTGCTTTCAAACAGGTACTAAAATTTGGGGGTTAAGTAATTTCAAAAATTATCTATTTGACATCAGATGCTTCGAACCGAGTTGCGACTGATCATATCTGTCCATATCCAACATCTGTAAGTCTGTACGCAGTTAACATTCAAATCAGCGATTAACCTGAAAGTTAGATTTGGGTTCGTTTCTCTCTCGATCTAGTATTCAATTACTCCAATTCGACCCGCCTCACAACGTACAAACAACTATTAATTGGTTTGATTTCGAATGTATGTGTGGCGTAAATGGAATGTTTGATTGTGCCACATATTTCTTTTTTTTTATGCGAAAAGTTGTCAAACGAGCAGACGGTGCACCTGATGTTAAGTGAAAACCGCCGCCCATGAACATTTGCTCCGGCTACCTCCCTCACCAGACGAAACGCGAAAGTATTTGTCATATTTGTCATACTTCCACTTTACGCTGGTCTTCTGTGAGGTCGTGGTACTTACCCGGAAGGGCCTGCCCATTCATACAACAGGCTGCTGCGTGGCCCTACCACCGTTAAATATGACACAATAAAGTTTATTTTGGTTTAGAAAACGAAACTGACACACAAACTGCTATTGCTTTTAATGCTTTGGGATAAGCAGAGGTAGTAAATACATTCAAAGTTTTGAATATCGAGCGCGAATATGCGATAGAAATTTTCAAGGATTAAAAAAAGGTGGCAATATACTGCAATTACCAACAACCTTTGATTTCGAGTCTTTTATGGAAAGGAATAAATTTATTTACTTTAAACGTAAGACTCAACAGAAAGCATACAGCCATAAAATGTATGCCTTCAAAATTATTGACACATATATTTGTTATTTATATTAGATGAAAATAAATCACTATTGAAAACTCTCGATGTATCGAAGCGTCTTTTAACGCCTGTGTGAAACACGCAAAGTCCTTGATATGATTATTGGAAAGTCGCGGAGCGAGCCGCTTGATTTTCCACTGTGGTTCCTATTTATTATTAGCGTTGTGTTTATTGATTTGGATCCAGTTTGTGCGGCTGATCCGATCTGTGGCTAGAGATTAATGGATTTTACCCTTTATGGCGAGGTCAAGTTTATAGTTAAGCGGGATTTCTTTAAAGCCTACTTGTTCTGCTACAATTTAATGTGCTGAACCTATTGCATTTAGAGATACATGAAATTGACTGACTCATTTTGAGTATACAGTTACTATATATTTGGTGGTGACAGGATAACTCATATAGTGTTTGGGCCCAGCATAGGGGAAGTGTCTTCTTAATTATTTTTTTACCATTGATATAATTTAGTATAAGATCCGTGTAAGCTCAGTGTCCGTGCTCTCCTTTAGATTAATTACACTGATGTAGTAATTACACTGTTATCTGGGTGTTTGTCCGCGTGCAATTTATTTTTGTAAAACGTCCTTTACAACACAGGAAAATATTATCCTAAAGAAAGGGCAGTGTTTTTTAAAAAAGAAGAAAAAAAAAGAAATCCGAGTTCAAATCCTTATTTCGACGAAAATAAAATGTTAATTGCTCCTTTAAAATGCTCATTGATCACGTGTTTGGGAAGGAAAGTTTATTTATTTTTTCTTTTTCTTATTTGAAAACATTAACTTTATCCTGTGTTGTAAGCAAAAATTACATACATTTTTTTCGCGTAGACCAACATCCAAATCTGATAAAATTATCCGTGGCCATACAAATAGTTGTCCCGTGTGGGAATCGAATCCATGCCCTATGGTACCGAAGCTAATACCCCTACCGTTATCACCGTATAAAAGGACAGTGGTCATTACAGTACTCTAGCTTCAGTAGAATATATTAGGTACCGTACCAAAGAATAGCGTTATCCTAAAGGTTCATATCTCTTTTGAACCATTGGTTTCTGATCCTGCTGCAGTAAATCAATCTTTAGGAATGTTTTAAATTATTTCAGAGAGTTTAGTTAATTCACGTAACTAATTTAGGTGATAAAAAGAAATTCATTTACCTTGCAACCCTCGCAGGTGAAGGCACCGAAGTGGAAACCTGCCGCTGGCTCGCCGCAAACCTTGCACTTTTGGTTCATCTGGAAAATAGAAAACGAAAATTCACATAACATTGTCTCTCACGCTAGAGCCGAGATTATTTCAACGAGGAGTGAATATTCCAATAAAAGAATTAAACCAGTTTGAAAATTGCTTGAAATGAAGGGATTAAATGTTAAACTGAATGTTATGTCATATATGATGCAAGAAAGATGATATACGATGCAAAAGAAATAAAGTTAGATCGATAAAAACGTTAGCAATATCGGAATGGCGCGAAACCGAAAACAAGTGAAAGAGAGTGAGAAGAAAAATATAATAATATTTATTTTTGGTGCTATCAGTATCACACAATGTTGAATACAATGATACTGACCGCCTCAGTTGATTAGGGTTTACCGTCTGAATTACAAACCACCGCACCTAGAGCATTATTAAAGAAAATCCTTATAGATTACTAGTGAACATTCTCCGATCGAGAACAAATGTGAATTTACCTAGCGAACGATTAACGCACTATCGAGGATCGAACAAAGCCCTTAGTGAGCCCACTATCGAACGTTCTCTGACCGAAAAATGTTACCTAACTAACGATCGACGTACGGTCGATCGGTATCTGGCGTCGTGGCAACTGAAGCAGCGCAGCGCCTCGGAAACCCAATTCCGCGTTAATACGCCGTGACCGAGAGCGGCCGTTTTCCAATCAGTCGTTCAGTTGTTAATTTCGAGGACCACGGCGCATGTTATTGGCGTGGTGCGGCCCGCGATAACGGCCAGCGTTGGGCTCTACAAAGTCTCTACGGGATATTGCGCGTGTTGGTTTCGGCTGTAAACTCTACCTAGTGTTCATCCTGTACTCATACTCACTAGCTATAGATAGATAGAAATGTACTATTAGAAATTGACTGGTACATATTGAACGCTAAACGTCGCGTATTAAAAATCTGCTTTATACCACTAGAGTGCTTATAAACGTTACTCTATAGTAATAGAGATACATAAGTGTTTCCAATTAACTCACCCAATATGAAAATAAGATAAAATAAAAATAAAAATAAAATAAAATGAATATGTATAAATATTTTTATTCATCAGATTTAATTAATTAATAAATCTGATAACTCATAATATCTGCTATTGTAGATCGAGAATAACTTCTTCAAATATTCACACTTTTTGCCTAACTCTACATAATAATCAAATATTTTATAAAGTGTCTTCATATAATTCGTTCAATTTATAAATTTCAGTACTTTTTTTGTACGCGTTTTTATGTAATGCATCTAAAAAGATATATTCAGTTTGGAGGTATGACGTTAGAATTAATACGTTATCAATATCGCACGTCAAACGTGAATTAAATACCGAGGCAATCATGACGTCAGCAATATTGCGGCATCTATTTCCGTTATTTAATCTGAGCGAACCAGACTAAGGCTTTATGATAGTATTTTATGATTTCGATTTTAAGGAAGATTTCAGATATAGGTAAGTACCACGTAAGTACCACGACTTTACAGAAGACCAGCGTAAAGTGGAAGTATGACAAATACTTTCGCGTTTCGTCTCGTGAGTGAGGTAGCCGGAACTCAACATTCAAAAGGTTGTCAACGCATCTGTAAGCCTCGGGTGTAGTAGATGTCCATGGGCGGCGGTATTCACTTAACATCAAGTGACCCGTCTGCTCGTTTGGGAACTTTTCGCATAAAAAAAAAGATATTTACATGGTTTAACTTAACTGTCTATATAACTACTTAACGTGGTGCGCTTTGAAGAAAATAGATTTAGTATAGATTTCGTTTTTCGGTGGTAGAGCCATGCAACAGTATTGCACGAATGGGCAGGTCAGTCCGGGTTATTTCCACGACTTCACAGAAGACCAGCGTGAAGTAGAAGTGCTGCACTTCTGCGTTTCGTCTGCTGAGTGAGTTAGCCGGGGCCCACTTTATTTAGACGTGGCTACGGGTGTTGCAAATGTCCATGGGCAGACGGTTATCACTTAACATCAGGTATACCGCTAGCTCATTTTCTCACATAAAAAAAATACCCGTCTAGGAAATTTTCTCATCAACTCGGTTGTCAATCGTTTGTAGTTCTATCGTCCGCTTATATTTTATCTTAGCATCAAAGCACCAATGCTCATTGACATATTACAAGAACATCAGTTTATAGTTATTCATAATAGGCATAGCAGCACCAATGACGTAGCACTGTTATGGCATCGATGGCAAGAGACGACTTCCCCCCTCCCTCTCAGCCGCCAGCCTTGCAGAATGGATCACCGAGATGCATCAGATTATGTTATATAGCGAAATACGATGGACCTGCAGGGGCCGTGCGCGATTTATTCGTCCTCACGCGCTGTTCTATGCTAATTCCGTGTCGTTATTTACTGTGCGCTAACCAGTCTTGAATTAATTTTTTACGATGCCTGCCGTATGTTCCGATTAATCGATTTATTTGTGAGCACTTAGGATTATTTTTATGCGAGGTGGAAGCGTGCTGGCAGTTCACCTGATGCGAAGTGATAGTCACTGCAGATGGCTGCAAAAACTAGGGCGTAGCAGATGCGTTGGCAAATTTTGAATGAGCAGGCAGAACGTACCCATACAAAACGCGGAAATATTGTACTTCCACTCGTCTTCTGTGAAGCCGCGGCACTTGCCCATTTGAAGATTGCTGCTTGGCCCTACCACACTAAATATATCGATAAAATTCAACTTAAAGTCAAAATTTCCGACAGCGCAAAGCCAAAGACATTTGCAACAAGTGCGTGAAACCTTAGCTTTGTGGTGGGGCCGTAACCAATATAAGGCAAAAAGATAACTCTGTAAACATAATAATATGTACTCATACTTATATATATGTATTCATGGTTATTGCATTGCTGTAATGAACATTTTTAAATAAAGCTGATACAGTTAGTTTCCTAAAACTATCAAACTATCATGGTTCATGAGATACAGCAGACGGACGGACAGACAGACAGACAGTCTTATTAATAGCGTCCCGTCTTACCCTTTGGGACTTAACCCTAAAAAAACTAAGAGCAAATGCAACGAAAAGGTTTTCATGCCAGCAGTTACTGGAACGGAGCGTTAGCACCGAGATCGTTCCAAGGGGGGACGAAATATGTGATACGCGAAAGGCCACAGAGCGCTTGGCCGATGAAGTAGCGTCTAATCAGATGCGGTCCAACAGCATCTCGGATGCGCCGCCGCGTCCGGTAAATCACCCAGCGTGGCACCAGCCCCGCGCCGCTTATCGCTCCGCTCATCGGCCCGCGCGCCGCTCTAAATTAGACCGTACACGATCCCTTACAAGACTCTGCCTTGTTGTGAGCGGCGCGCCGATGTCGCCCGGTGATTTGTCGTTTTCGCGATATCGCTTCTCGTTTCACGTTTGATTTACTTTTAATGGGCGTGTGTTATTAAGCGACGATAAGGACGGCTGTATGTCGCTCGTCCCTCTCTTAGTTTGGCAATGAAGAATTTTTGATTTCGCTGACTAACACTATAGATTTATCGCTTGAAGCTGGTCCAAGTCCCTCCCACAACTGAGATGAATCAAATGTCACCTGAAACATTGAAATAGATAATAGTTTATCTGTAAAGCGCGTCAAAGAATGCGTCAAACATACATACATATGCTCCAAAAACATTACCCTCCTTCGGCATATGTAAAAACCCTTTCCTCACTACACAGCTTCGCTGTTGCACGAATGGGCAGCTCCGTGCAGTGATCAGGACCCACTTAATTGAAAGATGGCAACGCAATTGTAAGCCTATGGCTGTTGTCACTTAACATCAGGTGATGCTTGCTCGCTTGCCATGTTCTTTCATAAAAAAAACTGAGCAGGGAACGATAACTGCATTTAAGCCTTCAGTTTTCAAAAACAGAATCTGTTATTAAGAGCAATGAACCTTTATATAAACTCCAGGTAGATTATTTTATTCACGCGATTACACATTATAATTGATGATAGAATTTATTGATGATGATTAAAATTAAAATAAACGCGATAAATGCTTAAAATTATTTTCATTTCTAGATAGAGTTATTTAGATCGCGAGTTTAAGCCGCGAAAACGGAAATACGACTTGTCACATACTTAGCCGACGGCAGTTGACATCGGTTCCAGGGAGCACACGATGACTTATCAAATCGCAATACAGACAGTATCGTTAAATCGAGCGAATTATCGACGAGCCCCGCTCCTTGTTCATTTTTTATTTTGCCTTACCTTATCGCTGGCGGTTATCTGTCTCGATGACTCAAACAAAGCTAATATGACATAAAAGAAAATGGCGAATTTAGCTGATTTTTCTTGTGATACTTACTGCCGCTCAGCATTTGAAAGAGTATTAATACGTACTTTTGTACTTCTTTTTGTTACTCCATATACAGTCGGTTTGCCAAGGATTTAAGGTTTCTTTTTAAATTTTAGTATAACTTTGTCAGTTTTAATCACATGTGTGATTAAACAAAACGGTTTCGTTACCGCGGTAATACAAGAGTGTTCAATAAGTCTTGTGTATCCTCTTTTACTCAAATAATCTCATATATTTCCATTTATACATAATTAGTATTCTTTCATCTTTAACTATATATAAAATATCTCTTAAAAACATATATTGACACCACGGTGACGATTGACCGATCTGCGATTCTTCCAATTCTTCCATAAAATAAAATTTCCAAAAAAAAAAATGTATGCGTGCGTATGTTGTTATATAGCAACTGCACTACTGTAACGACCATAGCCCCAATAGCCAGGCGAAATTTTCCCCGCACCTCACATGTGGGTCACCGAGGGCGGTTTCCATTGAACTTATCATTTCGTACGTGATTTAAAAAGTGATCGGCCGTTGACCCCGTGGGCACGAATCCTTACGAGACGTCGCCGCCGTCGCGCCCGATACGCGTCGCGGCCTATTCGGGCGTGTGACGCGGCGCAACAGTTCGATTCCCTTTTCCTGCGACTTAATTAATTTGTCAGTTGCTCTCGTATTTTTTTAGCACTGACGCTTAAATGATAATGAACGATTCTCGTCTTTACCGCGACTGATTAAAGTCGAAAATCGCGTGCGTGCGCGGACCCGTTCGGGCGCACGTAAATGAAAACCCCTGAGAGTCGGTCCGCGAAAAATTGAGCACCGCGAGGGTTGTCACTGGCCGATAATCATTTATCTCGGACGTGATCTGAACGGGAAATTTGCATACTAATTAAATCATTTTTCGACTCGGGTGCCTCGCCGTATAAATTACGTGAAATGGTCGACTTTGAACCGTCATCCTTTGATAACCAAAACCGTTCTGAAGATGGCTTAATTTATTCAAAATTGTTTTCAAAAGCAAAAAAGAGACAACAATAATGAAAAGGAATGTAAAGACGTAATTGTTAAATTCTTCTTCTTTTTTACTATTCGTCTATGATACAACATAAGTAATTAAAATGTAATCTGGTTAAACAGCAAAAAAAGATAACTAAATTTAAATCTGATTATAAAGATGTGAGATACAGTATTTTTGCGCGTGATAAAATCCTTAGAAATGTTTTATAAAATGTGTAAAATTAGTTGTATCTAACGATATGTAGTCATCATATAGTCAATTATTTACAACAGATGGTTTTGCGTCCAAACAAAACTTGGCAAACGACAGTGTTATTATATCACAATGTCGGTATTAATCGACCGGGTACAGTCACCTGACAAAGTCGACTTCATGGCGCAGTTGTCAATGTGTTGGCTTCAGCGCCAGATGTTGTGGGTTCAATTCCCACACGAGACAACCAACTGTTTTAGACTTGGGTGTTATCCACGTGAAATTTATGTTTCTAAAACGTCCTTACAACACAGGATAACGTGATGCTACAGTAAGGGAAATGTTTTCAAAGACAAACGATAATTCGGGGTAGATTCGAGTGTTTTAGCCATTTGAAAGTGTCACAGATCATGTATTTCTGTTGCCGCTATATCGAAAAATACTAAAAAACAAAACAAAAAATATTTAAGCGGGGCTCCACATACGACAGACATGATTTTCTTGCCATTTTTAGAGATAATGAATGGTAGGGAACCCTTCGTGCGCGAGTCTTATTATTAATTAAAACCGGCCAAGTGCGAGACTTGGCCGGTTCTAATTTTCCGGTCTGTTCAAAAACTTAATGTTGAAAATCGAAACATGAGTAAAACGCTGTAGACATCTATGCGGCTCTGGCGCGAATCTCAGCGAGCATCGCCGATGCGATGGTGGAGCGGCTCGCGTGTGAGAAACGCCGCCCTGTCATTTGCTACGCCGTTATTGGCCGCGCCATGGGACCCCGTGGGAACGCTCCGAGTCACTTATGGGAACACGGGCACACGTGAACCCCTCCCGGAACTCGAAAATGCCGCCGCTCCGTTCCTAGAAGACTCCACTAATGTAGACTGCGAGGTAGAGCCCCAATTGCTGCTGACTTGCTCTGCGATTTCGCTGCTTAGACGAAAATTCAAACAGACTCCTCTTACTGGCTACACTTTCTTGTGTCGTTTTTAATAACTGCAGTTTAAAATGAAACCTTCATAGGAAGAGCACTTCCAGATATCCAAAGATACTTAAGATGCTTATCTAAAGATAAATCATCACTTTTGCGTTACCTCGTCAATTGTTACGAATATAAAAGTTATGATACATGTAACTTTTTAATATTTTTTATATCCAAATAAAAAAAAACTGTTCCGCGTGCAAATGTTCACCTTGAGATTAATTAATTTCAGTTTCGCGTTTTGTACGGATGTGCGTTGCGTGACCTTGCCTGTGAGGCAGAGGATTTGCTATGAAAAAATTACGCGATTCAATGTAATACAAAAGCGAGTGAAATGTTGTCTCACAACTCAGTATTATAATTTTGTCTCTTATTTTTAAATCCAATATTTACAACGTTTAATGTAACTAAATTACATTTTATATAATGATCCGGTATGGTGCAAACAACAATAGCTGAATTTCTTCGCTGAATAGTCAACTCAGTTGTTAATATAACGATAAAAATATAATAATAATTCTTCATCGTATAATTTTGATAGTCGCAAGTGATTACTATTTTGTATTATCAACATTTAATATATTTTTTTAATAGAAATGAAAAAGAAATTTTAGAGTTGTAAAAATGACTCCAAAGCGATATCCAGACTTTTTCACTGGGCTAAATTGCAAAAGAATGGTAATGTAAGGCTGTTTGAAAATAAATTACCGAGATGCAAATGATTCTTAAGTAGGCGTTAAACTAAGCTCAGTAAATTCTCTACTATTTTCATAAAAGCACCGAACTCTTTAAGCATAAAAAACAGCCATCTGCTATCTGCTATACGTAATCCGTTATTAATCATATTCGTCTCTATATTATTATCGAGCATGCTCAAGATTAATATCTGTGCAGGCTCGCTATGTTTTGACGCTAGCCGCGTAGTGAAATGAGGGGCCTACTATGAGCGCTTGTATTATCCTCCATTTACGCAAAAACGGGTGGTGTCCGTATGTCGTTATTTAGTGCATTTACTTTTAATTTTAGCCGTAGAAGTTAGTTATGATTTTTGGTGCACTTTATTACATATAAATTATAATGATGTATTATGTTACATATATAAAGAACTATATAAAGAACTTGCTATATTCATCAATATGCCTGTATATATATATATATATATATATATATAGTATATATATATATATAGTAGTATATATAGTGAATATAATTGTTTCATATGTATAGGCATCGAATTAGCAAAGATAATATAAATTTTTTCAGATTAGTGTAAATGCTTGAGATGTTATAGCGAAAGAAAGATTTGTCGAATTACGTCCAGTATATCGATTGATATAAGAATAGCCGCTCGTGGTAAGGTCTCTCGCAGGGTTCTCACAAATTCTTACTGCAAGTGTAGCGATGTAAGTGACCGAGGCCAATGAGTAATAACGCGGGAACCTCGACGGCCTGTGGATACGGCGGGCAAAAAACACCGGCGTTATATTCCTAACAGCGACTTTATATTTAACATTTTTGCATATTCGAAACGTTTTTTTTTTTCGGAATAAAAAAAAACGAAAACGGAACCTGTTAATTCATTCAAATTAAGATTGGAATTAATGTGTTCGCAATGCTTTATTCGGACAGTTGGTCAGAGAGCAAAAACGGATGGAATCGTTTTAATTTTTGGATGGTCGCTGTCATTCATCGCTACGTTTATGTTCCCTTTTTATGCGAGCAAAGGTGTTGCTTCTAGAAAATTTACATTTTGCTTTTATTAATTAACTTCAATTTTTGCTGGCCTCTTTTCCTGGCAAGACTTTTTTATATCGTATCATTTAATTTTTGTTTTGTAATTAAAATAAAATATATTACATAATTATGTGTTTCTCATTAATCAAATTGGTATACGAAATGAAACAAATCGTTTCACTTACACATCTAAGACAAATAGAATAAAACTTAAACAATTTTATTACTTACTAGAGTATTTGCTTATATTTATTTGTACAGATTCTTACTTTTAAATCTGGTGGGGTAGTCAGAGATATGTAACGATTCAATTGTATCTAATTTAATTCTAATTTTTATGTGGAATAAGTAGGCTTTATTGACAGAGAAAGAACCATAGTTACACATAAGGCCGCCGTGGAGTAAAATGTTTCTAATTTTGCTTCAAACAGTAAGTAATTGGATTCCGGGCACTAATCAAATTTACTAGTGGGGAATCAGCTTCTAGAATCTGTGATCAGTCGAAGGGCATCAGTTCTTATATACCATCAGGTTCTTTCTCTTTTAGAATTTCCTTTTAATAACGAAATATGATTATACGACTTTTTCAAAAACCATTTTACCGAAAGCCATATTTGCTTTAGTCCTATCAAATTGTCTTCGCACTAAGAGCTGTTTTCGCGAACATCAGCTAAGGGCTATTACGGAACAAACACGTAAGGCGAGCGTTAGCGTTACGTTAATTTCAACCCGCACGCTGTATTCATTTAAATCGCGAGGAGTGCAGGCGTCGCCGCGGGCGGTAACGAGTCTATGATAATTCCTCTGCTGTCCGTACACCGGTAAGGATCTCTTGATTTCGTTTTGATAGGCGATAATTTGTGGTGCTCGCGTAGTTCCTCAAGTAAATTGGATGCACTCGAGTTTTTATCGGAGTCGTTTCGTGCTTTTTGCGATCCTATAATTAATATCTACTTACGTCTATCGCTTCTACTCGCTTTGCATACGCTTCCATGTAATGCGATTAGTGTTCGGTTATTTGGCGACTCTATGTAGAGTCGGCGCGGTAAGTGGTTTTTTTGTGCCGTACACGTATAGTTTTATATTCTACTTTTAGCTGATCCTTGCTGGTTGAGAGATTTAGCCAGGGTATTTTAGCTATGATCGCAGTGCTACGCTCTAAACTGATACGCGGTTTAAAAAAAATTGCATTGAAAGTAGCGAGAAAATGTTGGAAGAAAGTTCAAGCGTTAGACAGAACTGTTAGTAGTAAAAATTTTTCAGATCAATTTGTCGTTTGCTGATGTGCTCTCAATTGTCTCTGAGAGTCAACGAAAGCGTCAACAACGTGCAACAACAATTCGATTTTAAATAACAGGCGAATGAAATCAACTCAAATCGAACCTGACACTCGGAACGCGAGTCAGAGGCCACCAGTACGCAACAGTACACGTGTGCGGACAGCTGGGTCCGTAACGCGATCTCGACGCAGGGGTCGAGGGGTCATATTATACCATGCTCTCAGGCTTTGGCGGGCCCCAGTGGGCGTTCCAACCGAGTCCCTATTTTCCTACGTCTAATTCCTTCGGTCGATATTCCAGGCGAATGCTCGTGCAAGATCCCGTTTATACCGACGATGCTGCATATCTGTCTCATAAAATCAACTACAATGTAGAGTAATTTTTTATGCATAATTAGATAATTCTTTTTATTGCTTATACACATATAGGCTTTTACTTTACTTTATATCATCAAGCAGTGCAATTGATTAAGATTGCCAATATTTTATTTGAAACAAGTGTAAATTTGGTAACAGATGTGTGCTGTCTGTTACCAAATTTACACTTGCTAGTTGAAACATTACAAAATTGGGATTTATCTTTATTCGCGAAGGGACATTAATGCTTATTATTGTTAACCGAGCAGCAGGTAATCTCTTTTGATCACAACCCTGCGGCCACGTTAACGCCTAATTCGCCACACTGAATAAATCAACGTTTAACCGATAGTGTAATATATGGTCGGTATAAATCAAATATGCTTAATACGGTCCCGTCTAGGCCGCGCTGGACTTGACCCAACGATCTAATATTTCATAAGGCGTTTATCATTGCAGAGTTTTCCTTGCAGCAGGATGTAATGATGTTAAGTCTACTCGTAGGGTGCTGAGCGCGCCGTAGCCTTTCTACGGGCTTCGTGTCCCATGAAGCTTTTAAGAAGAAGTAAAGCTTAATATTTTTATTAAGCTACAAAAAAAGAGAAGGAAGAGTTCGTCTAATTATATATCAACTAGGAGAACTATTGTTAGATAAAGCATTAAATAAGTACAACTTAATTAAATTTTCCGTTACCGTCCATATTTATGCTTGGGCTTCAAACAACTGCCGAAATTGTAACTGAACATTGCTCGAGTACACCTTTACAAATTTATCGAGTAAATCCTTACTATTTAAGGTCTTAAATTAAATTTGAGAAGTAATTAATCGCGTACACGAAGCATCCCAAATCGTTGCGACTCCGTATTAATTTTTAATTTTATTTGAGACACTTCGAAGCCCCTGACCTTTGAGCGTCGGCTTTGACCTCTTTCGGGCCATACAGACTCGGTGTAACAAATTGAACCAATTAATAACTGTTGTTATCAACCTTGTTCATATACGAATTGCCACGTCACAATATTTGCATTATGATTTAGTGGTCGCGAATATATGTTATTGATATGCCATATTCGCACTCGATGATATGTGTCCTCACATTTTATTTACAACTTATTGGCTATTGAGCCTTGCTGTGGTAGTTTAGTGTTTAATAACTATCTATTGGCATTACACACAACGTTTTGTAACAGATATCGCCACATATACAATAAACTATGACGAATATTCAGCGCTTTAGATTAAAACAATGTTCATAAAAAGGAACAATGCAACATGAGGGCTGACAGAAGTGGTAATCCATCTGAAAGTATAGGCCTAGTTTATCACTTTAAGTTGCATAAAAACAACAAACACCAAACGCAACAATATATAACGGACAGTGGTAGTATATTTATGTATGTTACGCTAACGGCAACTAATCACGCTGTCAGCTAAAGGTGGCGTAGCGCGGTAGCTGTCGATACTATCAATGCTCGGTTTCAGTTACAAGCTTTTAAATCTAACGAGGTAGACAGGCAATGTATGCTTATGATTGCAATCAATATTCACTCCCGATTTGTTACGGATTAGATTGGCGTACTCGGGGTTGAGATGGGGGAAAACGAATTTTATTTAGTTCTAATGTAAGTGTATTTTAT